CGGTGAGTGGAGGGGGCGCTTGGCGCCGCGGGCGGCCGCGATCTCTGCCCATGCGCCCCGGCGGGAGGGTCAGCCGGGCGTCGCGTGAGCGGGGGCGACAAACGGGGGAGGGGAAGAGAGGAATCGTTTGTGCCCTACCCGGGTCCCAAAGGTGTTCCCCTGGGGCCCAAAAGGGGCAGGATTGGTCAACGTTTCTGCCCACCTCATCTATCGCCGTGCAGCAACGCCCGACTCTAGCTCAACTACCCGCAAGAGTGACCCTGGGTAAGGGTGACCTTTGGTGCGCGGGCTAAGGGGGCGCAACGTGGCCTCATCCAGGCGCGCCAACAGCCGCTATTTCGCATCGCGCTGAGCGATCGGGGGGACCCAGATGAGCCCGCACCAATGGTCACTCCGGCGAAGGGTCACTCTTACGCGTAATCGATTGGCTTCCGCCACCTTCCGAGAACCTTCCACCTGCTTCTGCCGGAGGAGCGGACCTCGTTCTGATGCCGCGGGCCTCCGCGGGCCTTCCGCCGAGGACGAGGTGCCAACTCCTTCGGCCCCCCGCGGGCGAGGCCCTCGTGGGAATGGCTCGCGCATGAGCGCGGGCAGAAGCTCCCGATGCCGGCGGTGCTCGCAGGGGAGAAGGCGGGGAGGAGAGCCGAGGGTTGAGGGACGGGGCCCAGATCTGGCCAGCACCGACGCGTTCCCCACCACAACGCCGACCGCGGCATCTTCTATTCGGTTTCAAGGGGGAACGGGCCAGGAGGGAAACGGGGTACTGGACCCCGGGGCCCTGCTCCCAGGACCGGTTGTTCGTCCTGCACCGCTGCCTGACCCTCCTTGGGCTCGTGGAGGGCCCCGAGGGCTCGGACACGGAGAACAAAAACCTCGGGACCCGTTTCTCTCAGGACCCGTTTCCCCCATGGCGGATCCTCTGTGCGACTTCAATCGATCGGGGGCCTCTTCGGCGGTTGTCCGATCCCATCGGCGGCCCCATTGAGCTGCCTCGGGGCGGGAACTGGGCCGCCCAGCGCGTGCGGAGGCCGTCCGGGGAGCCTTTCGGGAGCCTGCGGGGCTGGTCGGGGGCCTCTTCGGCGGTTGTCCGATCCCATCGGCGGCCCCATTGAGCTGCCTCGGGGCGGGAGTTGGGCCGCCCAGCGCGTTCGGAGGCCGTCCGGGGAGCCACTCTAGGTCGTCTTGGGGCTTGTGGGGGTCGCCTTGAGCTTTCAAGGGTGGCCTTGGGGGGTCTCGTCGGCCGTCGTCGGTGCATGTTGGGGTAGTGCTGGGGCCATTCTGGGTCCCTCTTGGGCAAGCGGGGTGACTTGATGGGGGCCTTGTGAGGCGTCCTATGGGTGTCACGAGGCCCCCATCCACAGGGATGATGTGTCAGACTGGCAGGGGCAAGGCAGGAGAGGAAAACAGTGCGGCCCAAGTCGGTTCCCTGCTTATCTGGTTCAAGACTCGGCGGGGCTCCTCCAGGATGTGGAGGACGGGCGGAGAAAACAGGGAACGAAGGAGCTGGCAGGCGAGAGGATGGAGGAGAGGAGCGGCAGTAGCATGGAGGGGGCGCACAGGGACGTTGGCGGGAGAGCAGGCGGGAAGCTTCGTAAAGGTCTTCGGGCCACCCTCTGGAAATATTCGTGGAGATGGAGCTCGCGTTGCGGGGTCCGTGCGCTTGGCGTTGGCGCTGCGGGGCTTTCTGGGGGCGTGGGGAGAGCCTCCGGCGTTCGATGGGGTCACCATCATGGGGGAGGGTCCCTGCGCCTCTTGGGCAACATCTGCGGCTGTTTTGGGGCGCTCGTGAGGAGAGGGGGACGGCCTCGGATATCTTCTTCTGGGCCCTGGTGTCGGTTATGATGTTCTCTTGAAGCTGTAGAGGGCGGCTTGGGTTCGCTCCGGCTGTCGTGAGATCCTCTTGGGCCTCCTTGTTGGCGTCGTTTGGGGGTCTCGTCGGGATCCCTTGGGGGCCTCTTGGGGGCCTCTTGGGGACCTCTTGGGGCTTCGTGAGGGCCTCTTCGGGTCTTCGCGGGGCCTCTTGGGGGCCGTTCGAAGCCTCCTGTGGCCTCTTTGGGGGGAAAGCTGGGAATTTTGGTCCGTGCTACCCCTCTGGGGCCCCTCGTGGGGCGATCCTGGAGCCTTTTTGGACCTTCTTGGAGGCCTCCTCGGCCGTCTTGGACGATCATTTGAGCTTCTTTGGCCATCTTGGAGCGTCGGGAAGCTGAAAAGGCGGAAACGCGAAAAACCTCAAAGAAACCAGAATATACATGAGTTTTGACTCTTGAGGCTCTCTTGGGAGGTTTCTTGGAGACGTCCCAGGGCCGTTTGGGGGCTTCAAGGGCAATCTGGAGGCCTCATTGAACGGTCTGGTCCGATGAGTTGGTGACATTTCGCCCTGTTGGATTAGGTCGGGCATGTCCCCCTACGGGCGGATTTGGGGCGAAAGCTAAAGCGCATTCAAACATATTCGAGACTAGTCAGCAAAATACTCAACCATCGTCCCCGGACTATTTTCGACCATTTCTGAATCTTCTTCCCGTAGAGGGACACGCCCGACTTACCTCTTGGACCATCTTCTGTGGACAATTTTGGGGCCCCTCGCGCCGCCTGGACACGAGGTCTCCAGAACGCAGCGCCGCCTTCTGCAGCCCTCTGCCAGGCGTTCCGGGGAGGGAGCCTCAGGCGGCCCAGCACGGCAACGCACGAGTCGACCTCGATCCTCCAACCTTGTTCCTGAGATGTCTTCCCAAATTCGGGGGCGCGCAAACGCGGATTAGCCATCCATGGATTTGGCGCGCGGTCGCCAAACCCAAAGATCGGGGGAGGTGCCCTCCCCAAAACGCGGCCGGTGCCGCCTCGCTCGGCGGCGGAAATCCGCGGTCTCCCATGGAAGCGGGGCCCGTCGCTAAGCCACGCCCCCTTGATCCATGTTTGCGATCGCCTGACCAATGGGGTCCGAGGATCGCGCCGAATCGTCGATGCATCGGTGACCTGCCCCAGGCGGCCCAGCACGGCAGACACAAGTCGACCTCGATCCTCTCCAGTCTCGCTCCTCAGACGCCCCCCCCACTGGGGCCGGAGGATCGCGCCGAGTCGTCGCTGCATCGGCGGCCTCGGCGACGCCTCGGCGCCGCCGGCGCGGAGAAACATCGGGCTCCAGACCGGGCCGCGCCGCCGATGCACCGCCGCTGCGGCGCGACCCGCCGACCCCATCTGCTCTGGCCCCGCTTGGGAGGCGGCCTGGAGAGTGCTCTGGCGTCTTGGCTTCGAGTGGGGGGTCGACTACAACACTGCTTTGCCCCAGAGTTGACTTGCGCGTCGAGCCTACGAGCATACGCAGGATCACCCGCAGATCTACGAACATTCGGCGCACTTCTCTCGTAAATTCTGCGCGGAAGCCGATTCTGGGGCAAAGCATCTCCGTAGTCGATCCCCCTACTCGATGACTGTGCCCTCGGGCCTCCTGAGCCGTTTCCTGAGCCTGCCCCGAAGACACCGCCCTCTGAGAATGCCTTCTCAATGGGGTCCGAATGGATGGGGTCGGAGGATCGCGCCGCATCGCCGATACATCGGCGACTCATCGGCGATGCATCGGCAATGCACCAGCCATCGTCGACGCGGGCGATGCATCGGCGGCGTCGACGTAAAGGAAATCGGGCTCCACATCGAGCCGCATCGGCGATGCATCAGCGATGCGGCGCGATCCTCCGACCCCATCTACTCTTAAGTCGGGCGTGTACCCCTACAGCGGCATTCTCGACGGAAAAAAAAAAATACCCCCAAAATACTTTTAAAAAGATTTAAAACATATTCAAAATTAGTCCCCAACCTATTTTTGGACTATTGTTTGATTATTGTTCGGGTATTTTTCCATACCTAGGCTCTGCCTAGAAGGGTTCTTACCCTCTAGCTTAAAGGGGCCGGGCAGTGGAACCCGCCCCGGGCGGTTCCCCCGGCATCCGCCCCGCGGTTCCCCCAGTTACGCCCCCTTAGCTTAGCGTTGCTTATCTCATCTTAGCTTAGCTAATTTCATCTTAGCTTAGCTTAGCTTCATCTGAGATCAGGTTTATCTTAGCTTAGCTTACCTTCATCTTAGCTTCGCTGAGCTTTAGCATAGCAGAGCACAGCATAGCAGAGCGTAGCATAGCATAGCGCAGCACAGCATATCATAGTATAGCCCAGCATAGCATAGCATAGCGCAGCATGGCATAGCATAGCATAGCATAGCGCAGCACAGCACAGCACAGCATAGCACAGCGCAGCATAGCATAGCATAGTATAGCATATCATAGCAGGGCATAACATAGCAGCAAAGCAAAGGCAAATCAACAGCAGCGACAGCAAAGCAAAGCACAAGCAACGCAACGCAACTCACAGCAAAAGCAAAAGCAAAGGAAAGGCAAAGCAAAAGCAATGCGCGACAGATACCAAGCATGGGTGTAATTCCCTACCTAGGCTCTGCCTAGAGGGTTAGCTTAGCTTAGCTTAGTTTAGCTTAGCTTAGCTTAGCGCAGCGCTGCATTAGCATAGCATATCATAGCATAACATAGCCAATCATAGCATAGCATAGCGCAGCATAGCATAGCATAGCACAGCACAGCACAGCACAGCATAGCATAGCGCAGCATATCATAGCATAGCATATCATATCATAGCGCAGCATAGCATGGCATAGCATAGCATAGCATATCAACTAATTGTGCCTTCCTAGTAGGCTCCAACTTCTAGGTAGGGTCGCACTGGGGTAATTTATCTTTTGTCGAAAATCCCCCTGTAGGGGGACAGGCCCGACTTAAATCTACTCCGATCCGGTCTATAGGAGGCCTGGACCTCCTCCCTCCCGCCTCCCCCCCAGGGCGCGCCGCCGATGGACTCCTCGAACCCCGCGGCACTCTCTCTCGCTCGCCCCTCCTCCTCCTCCTCCTCCTCCTCCTCCTCCTCCTCCTCCTCCTCCTCCTCCTCCTCCTCCTCCTCCTCCTCCTCCTCCTCCTCCTCCTCCTCCTCCCCCCCCCCTGGACCGTCGGGGAGGCTCGCCGCTCCGCCGCGCGCGCTCTGGTGGTCCCTGTCCTCGCGGCGGACCAGGAGCGCCTGGCGGC